GTATTCCAGGTGTTTTTTTTCCTTCTAGAAAACAGCATGGGAGTAAAACTAACCTCTGGACAAGAGGAATAGTCATTTTCTAAAAGATGAATGGGCTTTCATTGTTGTTGGTGTAACAGATAAGACACCCTATTCAAAATTTTAGAAGGAATGTCTTTCCAGAAGCAGCAAAAATGAAAAGGTCACAGGGGGACGCAAATTCAATAGGGTCTGACAACATATATTTCTTTTTATCTGTAACAAGGGTTGCTTATTTGCTTCATTTTTAATTTTAAAAAAATTTTTTTTAAAAAGAAAAAATATTTAAAGGATTATAAAATTAAAATGCCAGCCTAAAATTTCGGCGCATAATTGAAAAATTTATTTTTAGAGCGACGCATAAACGAAGGATGTTTATCATTATTTTCCTATCTAATGTACTGGGACCTATAAAAATCGTCGTATAAATGAAAAAGGTGCATAAAAGAGGTGGCACATAAGTGAGAGGTCACTGTATGTTTTTTTTTCAAGTGTCAAAATCTATGAATTAAGGGTTAATAGAAAAAAACTTCGTAAAACTCCTTTTAAAATTAAGAAAATAAGATTTAAAATACAAGATTCATTTTTACATTTTTATAAATTTAGTTCCAAATATTTTATTTGTCTAATGATAAGATTTAGGTATTCATTTTAGTTAAATTTAGTTTAGTTCTATTTCGTCTAGTTTAGTTAGTTTTCAGGTAAGTTTGCAACCACCGCTATGTCGAAAAAAGTTTTTAGTATCACGGTTTCTAATATGTAATGCAATATTGAGATGAGCCATTAAACAGACAATATCTTTATCCTATTTCTTTGCACAAAAGTAGCGGAAGTCATAATTTTTAAATTCTTTTTTTTTTATTTTTTTTTTAGATAAATGTTACTAGTTTTTTTAAAAAAAGATTTTACTGGACTCATTTAAGATTCCATAAGAGCATTTTCCTGATTTGAGGTTAGCTTTTCTAAAAACTTACCAAAACAAGTCATGCAGTTAAAACTATTATACGATGAAAGCTAACTTAATTTAAAAAATATTTTCAATTGGAACCATGTTTCTATAACCCTTTGATCAAGAGGTTTACAGTTTTTTTGAGACTGCACACTGTAAATAAAACTGTAAACAAAACTTAAAGTTCAATTTGATTGAAAGTTTAAATACTACGTTTTTGATATAATTAGAGATAATAGTTTTAAAAATAATAATATTAGAAGAGGTAACCATCAAAAATATGCATTTGAATCAAATTAACTAGAAAAATCACTCGTAAGAAAAGTAAAATAAGGTTTAAAAAATAAAAATTTTAATTATGAATGTTTTATATATTTAAAAATGCGACTTTACTTTTGAGATTAGTTATATATATTTAGAAATAAGAAGTCACTTTTAAAAACAAATGTTTTAAAAAATTAATTAAATTTTTAAAATACAGAATTTTCTTAACGAAAAACAAGAATTTTTTTTTCAATATAATTAATAATGTTTTTACAAAGTAATACCGTTTTTAAAAAATAATTCAATATTTTGAAAAACAAAGAATGCTTTTTAAAAATAAATAGTATTCATTAAAATTAGAATTTCCTTAAAAAATATTAAAAATTAATCTTCCTGCTAAAAATAACAATATTTTTGAAAATAACGATGACTGATAAGAAAGTGAGAGCAGGAATTTTCCTATAAAAATGCTTTTAAAACTGACATTTAATTTTCAAAAATAAATGTTGCTTTTAAAAATAAAATTTAAAGAAAAATGTGCATAAACTAGTAATGCCAAGCTAGTTTACCAGCTAAGCAGTAAGAAGTCATAAGAGGCTTCGAGTGGGAGAGGAGGATAGATGAAAAGTGAAACAAGGTATGAAACAACTATGTCGGGGATAAAATGTGGAAAATTGCCAAAAACTCATACATGTTTAACATCACATTGGAAACTAACTCTAAAAGATACTGCCAATTTGCTAATCACAAAAAAGACTTATTTGAGTTATTGCCAAATGAGTCTTTTGTTGATGTCACTGCATAGTCTAGAATGACATGTAAAGTTTTCCTCCTCTTGAGGGCCTTTCTCACTTTTCTGTATTTTTTTGGGTCAAATTTTGAAACATTTTGTTTGAAACATTTGGTCAAATTTTAAAACACTTCGCAGAATCAGTTACTTTCTAATTGAAATGAAAAGGTATTTCCAGAAAACATTTGGTTACATGGAGCAATTTAGAAATTTAATTTTTTTTTTGTTCTTACATAAAAAAGGGGCAGTGCCCTTCACCCATAAATCCCCACATTGTGCCATTTTTTCATTCAAATAAATAAACAGAAAAAAAGAAAAGAATATTTGTCTATTTTTATTTCTTGTTAAATTTAGTATCATGGACTAAAAACTCTCAACTGCCTCTAATAAACATCATTTTATCAATTAAAACTTTAAAAAAAATTTAATTCTATATGTGCTTTGTAAAACAAAGAACAGTAAAGATAGGGGGAAAAAAAGCTTTGTAGACAAATTGTCCCTAAGTGCCCACTCTAAATATAATTTTATAAATCAATAAATTTTTTTTACATCAATGTGAAGTTAAAATATTTAATTGCTTCTATTTTTTTTTTTTGAAAAAATGTTACGAGTAAGACTAAAAATTAGAGGAAAAAAGCTATATAGACAAACTGGCCCATTAGTTACACAAAATATGTATCACTTATGCAGAAATAGAAGTCTTGACACTGGTTTTAGTTTTTAAAAAATAACTTAGACTGAGTAAGAAGAAACTAGATTAAATGTAAGGTATAATAAATACCTAATAATCATAAAAAGTATGTGAGTGTAACATTAACTGAGTCCTTTCTTGTGATGTGTGTTACTAAGGCAACAGCAAGAGAATACCTTTTTGTTGTCTTTTATTTAACTGTGCGTACAGCTTAAGAAGTTAGCTATTAACTTTAAAATATATTTAATTTTCTAAAAGTATTTAATCAATTTTATTTTGAAAATTCAATGAGTAGAGGAAAAACTTTGAAAAATTAGGTTTTATGTGTAAGCATTACATAGTGAAGAGCAAACTACTCTTTATTTACCGGTAATAAAAAGTAGGTTCTTGAAATAGGACTAGGGATATGTCCCTGTTCTATTTTAAAGATTTCGGTGATTGTGGTTTTTTACAATTCTCACCACTGCTCTAACATTTAAATATCAAAACTGGGAAGAATATATAAAGGTTTTTATTTTTTGCAATAAAAACAATGGAGAAAAGATAAACATTAACAACTTTCCCTCGGGTCAGAAGGAACAGGAAAAACCTGGAGTTGTCAGGGAATTTTATTTTAACTCCAAAAGTCAGGGAATAGTCGTGGGAAGTTGCAATTTTTTTGCAAAAACCTGGAAAATTCCTACATTATACCCGGAAAATAACCAGTCTTAAAATTTTCAATAACAGTAATCAGTTTGAGATTCAGCTTAAATATAATTCTAACATTTATTACAATTATTTATTGCTGAAATTTCGCATTTAAGTCAAACTAAAATGTTTCTGTTCTCATATAATGGTGTTTATTTTACACAGAAAATCCAATACTTAGCATTGCAAATAAGAGAATCAAAGTTTTCTGATGAAAAATTTCGTGGTATGTTTAAATATGGTATGGATTTTCATTGAAATTTACCTGATATACCTGGAAAAGTAAGGGAATTTTTTTTCTGGAATTGAGTGGGAACCCTGTTAATAGTTTTTAGAGATAAGTATTGTTCTTATCAGAGTCGCCAATATGCAACTAGAGACATGTTTCTTGCCTGGATTTTAGTTTCATTCATCAAAAATATTATTTATTGTTAAAATACTTACTCCTGATAAATTTTTAGTTCAAATTGTTTTTCTCTGTACTGCTAAAAAAATGACTTTAAGAATTTCCTCCAATCCTAACATTCTCTTCCTCAATCCTGGAATATGCCTAAAAGCTGTTTGTAGAAAGTTGAAGAGGGAAACTGAATTTTTAGAATTATAACAACATAAAAAATATAACAACATAAAAAAAAAACTTGCAAAATCCAAATTTCAAAACTTTAAGAACAGTTTCTTGAATATGCAAGTTGACAATTTAAAGAGTAGATATAATGAAGATACCATAAAAATTCTTTTTTAATTTTTCAGTATGCTGAGTCCAAAATGCAAGTTAAGAGTTGATTTAATTGATATTGTAAAAAAACAAAAAAATCACTGTGTGTAGTGATATGCCTACAAAGGCAAAACTATTGTGGTAGGAAATCCTTTTTAATTAATTTAACTAATTATTCTCCATAAACTCATGCTGATTTATAATGAATGCGACTTGTGCCAATCTATTCCAGTGAGGTAGAAAAATGACAATGACATTCCTTTTATATATCCTGAATTAAGGAAACTAGTTACTGTTGTTCTAACTCTGCCAACTAAATTTGTTTTTCAAAGAAATTTAATAACTCAAAAGAAAATGGAACAGTGAGCTTTGCTTGATGATGAGAGCTTAGGTGATCTTTTCAGATTGTCTTGTGAAAAAAGTTTTGAACATGCTGTTAAGTTATGGATACAAAAAGAGATGTTAACACAACTTCAATATATGTTAAGTCCTTTGTGTAGAAACCTATTTGCCTGTAAATAGTGTAAAATTTACATAACTTCAATATATGTTAAGTCCTTTGTTTAGAAACCTATTTGCCTGTAAATAGTGTAAAATTTACATTGTATTCAAACAAATGTCATTTTTTAAAACAGAAGAACAGATTGCATTCTACCTTTACATAATGAATATTTATGACTGTTAAAGTTTATTACAATTGGCATTTTAAAATATTGTTAATCAATTAGTCATTAATTACTATTAACTTACTATTTAATTTATTATAATTTCAAATATTTATTAATTATTCAATTCGATTTTAAGTAATTATTTAGTTGCTAAATTTTGTACATATTTTTTATGTCTAAATTTTATAGATTAATGATTTTTAAATTATATTTTATAGAAAAAAATTTTGAAATCAGCGACAAGTTTATCGAAATCAGCTACCAAGAAAGCAAACAAGAAGTCAGTGTCATCTCATCAAGAACATTCTTCCTTGCAAATGAGGCTTCCTGGGATCGAAGGTCAATGCCGTCCATCAAAAAACAATTTCTCATCTTCCACAGTGAAAAATAATGTGACTTCAGTGCCAAGTGCGGATTATTCCTATGAATCTCTAAATGAACCTGTTAGTAGTACTTGTGACTCTGCAGACCAACCAAATTCATCTATTGCACAAAAATCATCTGTATCTTTGTCATTGGTACCAATTTCTTCATTGCAAGCAACAGCTCTGCCTACAACTTTAGGTTTCAAAAAAAGTCTATTTCCACATCAGATATCGCACACAGACAATAATTCTAAATCATCAAGAAATTGCCATTTACCTGCAATACCTTCATCCTCATTACCTGTTACAGAATCTCCTGTGTGTGTTAAGTTTCCTACTGGTGTAAGGCGAACAGAAGCTCATTTAATTTTAACGCCTGAAAACTCTCTTCCATTTCCTTATATAAAGAATTGGATTTCAAATTTAGATTTTTTAAAGAGAATTATTCAACGCGATAAAAATGATAAAAATCGTTATATAATAGATGTAGGGGGTACACATGGACATGTAAGTGTGCATATTGAGGACCTTGCGCTATTTTTTGATGGCTTTAGATCAACAGGAAATAAACTAGGTACATTAAATTATGCAAGAGACATACTGTCCTCAATAATACTAGAATCAAGAAAATGTGATTCCTCAGACAATTTTTGCTTTATTTGCAAATGTTCAACTGATTTACTGACCTGTGATAAAGAAGACTGCAATCGAGCTTATCATCTTTTGTGCCTTGGTCTTTCTTCTATACCAGATGGTAAATTTTTTTTTTATTTGGACTTAAAAATCACTCAATAGGTTTAAGTTTTCTAAGCAATTACAGGTTTTTGATACATAAGAGGCCTACCTCATCTCATAGGGAGTTCTTTTTGCATGGGAAAAAATTAAATGGAGTATGTAGTTAAATTAAAACAGTGGTTTTCAATTAGCAGTCCACCAAAGATAACTTTATTTGCAAATGGCAATGTAAATAATGTACAGGTTGATTCTAAAATTAAGGGGCATTATAAGGATTAGGAATTTCATAAGAACCATGATCCGAAATATCATATCATGCAATTGCATTTCAAATAGACTCAGAAATAGCTGTTTATTCATAATTTGACGATTTTGCTCATTTCTCCAGCTAGTTGCCAAAACATTAAATTAGGATAAAACCGCTAATACTGACCTAATTTATGTGCGATTTTTGACAATAATTATTAGAAACATTACAATTTAGATACAGTCAAACCTCATAACGTTAATTGAAATTGGGACAGAAAATTTGTTCATGTTATCAGGTCAGAAATTTTTTTGATTAAGATAAGACAATACACAAACATTTTCTGTTATCCATATCTGCTATCTCTTTGCATTTTTTAATCTTAAATTTCTATAATGAATTCGTAAATTGATATAGATTTTATTTTAATAAATGTTTTAATTTTTGCTTCATATTAAATTAGTAATTATGCATCGTTTAATAAATACAATCAATTACTTAAAAAAATTAATGAAATATAGTTGTAAAGGAAGAAAAACAAATTTTGTAGTTCTGAAAAAATTCAAAAAGCGTACTTATTTTTAGTGCTCTATTCGTTTTTTTAAATTCTGTTGAAAGTAAATAAAAAAATATGGAAAAGTAACTATTTAATTGGAGTAAACTGATTCACTGCTGAATGAGAGAGGATTGCTAATGAAATAATTCGTAATATAACACTATCTCGGTTTCTTATTCATACATGCTTTCCAAAATTTTTCCAACTTATTAACTGCATTCAAAAAATTATTTGAATTTCCATTTTGCATTACAAAGGAACTGACAGTTTTAATTGCTTTGTTAGCATCAATCTGAGGAAAGTAAACTAAAGTATTCGCAAGTGAAATTAAAGAAAACTTTTAGCTTTACACATCTTCACCTATCGAAATGCAACTCAGCAATATCAATTTCTTAGAATAACTTATAAGAGTGTTGGAGAAATGAATATCCATACTGAACAAAGGATCAATATAGTGATGATCTTTTCTCAGGAAGACATGCTTCTTTACATTCACACTTATGAGACACCCCCATGAAATGAAAGAAAACACTATTCATATTATAGCACAATAGGGATTATGTTGTTTCTTGTAACAACCCCTTCCCTTCAACACATTCAATTCATACAAATCTTTCATTTGATTGTTGTAATGTTGCAATTATCACTCGCTTTTACAAATCATTAAAAAACCTGACACTATAGAATTCAGAATGATCAGTTTTCTTACCTGCCAGAGGGGAAATAAATTTGCTCTTCATGTTAAAGTTAAAATTGTTTCTATGGGCAATAAAATTAGAGTTCACCTTAAAAGATATTTCACGTTAAGTGTGTTCACGCTAAAAGTACTATAAAGTATTATAACCGTATGCAATTTGACAGGGAGTCCAAAATTAGTTCTTGTTAAAAGAAATTTATATTAAACGAGTTCATGTGAACGATGTTTGATTGTATTAAGTCAATAAATTAAGTATTTGTTCAAAGGCAGGAGAAGAAATAGTTCATAATAGAGAAATTCCCATAACAATGTACGATGATATTTCCAGTCATGAGCTCTCATGCAGTTCTTGACTACCTCTTCTCCAAGCTTGCCCCTTGATATTAGAACTACCCAGTATAGTTTAAATATGTAATTTTTTTTGTGAAGTTTTTATGACTATATATTCTAATTTCAAATGCTTTCCTTTTTTGAATAAATTTGATTTTTCTCAGTTTCCATCAAAACTAATGATAGAATTTGAGCGGTGAAATCTGATGATGAAATGGCTAATTGAAAACCAGTGGTGGAAAAGAATACAATGATGAAATATTTGTATTTGTTTTCACTACTTCTTATAAAATTTCAATAGATGTTTACTTACCGTAATTTCGCGGAGAAATGCCGTCCTGGTATCTACGCCGCTCCCTCAAAAATCGACTGACAGGAAAAAGCTTTTCACCGGACACGCCGCACCATCGTATACGCCGCGCCGAATTTTTAACAATTAAAGAATTTTGAACTTAACGCAGATATTGATTAAAGACTTAACACATGCTCTAAATATGCATATGTATATAATTTGAATAGTTAAATAAAAATAAATAAAAGGATATTAAATATTAAAAAGAAAATAGAAACAATCCCAGTATATAAAATAGATTTTAATAATTTTCTAAGTAAAATTAAGCATTTTCTAATTTTAAAGTGAAGTAACCATTAAAATATAAATAAAATAATTAATATATCATAAACAATTAAAATAAGCATGAAATTTTTTAAAAATAAAACGATTTTACTTTTAAATTAACAATCTAAAATCCTGTTTTAGAAATAAACGATAAATCCAAACAAATTTCGTTCAAAGAAAAACTTAAGAATAATTTATTTAAATATCACGTATCACTATATATTCATATCATTGCACTTAAAAATTCCTCAAAATCAGAACTCTCTGTATCAGAGCAAAATAGTTTTACTATTTAATTGTTTATTTCGGGTTAATCTCCGTCACTTTCGGTTTCGTTTGTCCCGGGATGATTTCCGCTCTTTTGAAGCCATTTATCACAGTTTCTTTTTCTCTTTTAATTGCTGACAGCTTAAACGCAGCGGTATAATTTTTCCTCTTAATGGGAGGCATTTAAAATGGATAACTTAAATACAAGTTATGTTAAAACAAAACGAAAATAGTATAAACGAAACAAAAATATTAACGAAAGAAAAATATTAATAAAACAAAAACGCATCAGAACTGAAGATAAAACAATAAAAAAACGTAATAATAATAAGCTGAGGAAGATGATCGAAATCAGACAGAAATATGAGCAATGAAAAAAAAAAACAATAAAAAGCTCTCTCCCAAGCATTTAAAACAAGTTTCTATTTTTAGCAATTCCTCCCCCTATTTTCGCTTCTCAAATCAGGTTTCTTTTTTCAACTGACTCCGCCTAGGACTGTCTTTCTCTTATCCCTGACTAAAATTCTCACACACTTTGCTTTTTTCCCTCTGCACTGACCCTCAGTGGAAAGTTTGAAATTCTTTTTGAACATTTTAATTGTAAGAGTATTGAAGGTCATTCCAAGCTCATCAGCATGCTTTATTTACCAAACATTCACATGTTTTTAACAACCAGCTGAAGAAAAAAGGGGAGTGGAGAGAGGCATCCATGACAAGTGGAAGAGTCATATTTCCTGGAAAGAACAGGGGGTGGGGGAGCATTTGTTTTACAGTTACCTTATCACTGGCCCCACCCTGATTTTCTTCATTCATTCCTTTCTGATTTATGCTTCTCCACTCCACGCCCATTTCCTACACTCAACAGCTGTCCATATGGCAGAAGGGAAAGAGAGACTTTGTTCTCTTGTGGATAGTGGTCTCCAGAAAATGATTCCAAGAAAGGATTAGGGAGGGGAAAATTCCAGGTGCGCTGACCATTCCTTGGAGTGACATTAAGCATGAAAAAATAAATAAAAAGTACAATAACAGGTGGAAAAAATGAAGATGAAATTTCCAGTGCGGTTTCTAAAATGCAAAATTTTTGAAGAAAAAAAAAAGTTATTCTATATAGGCCGCCACGTTAGATACGCCTTCCTACTAAATTTTCAAGTTTTAAATCAATAACGCCGCGACCTATCTCCGCGAAATGACGGTAATATGAAAGTACAGTTTATTTAGTGAGATTTTTTATTATTTGTTATGCATTATTGGTGTTAAATATCCGATTCTTATTTAATTTGTAAATTAATGTTTTTATTTGTATAATTTGATGAAAATTGTCACTTTATGATCAGGATTGTGAACCTCAAAAGGCCTGGGTTTAGTTATAATTATATTATGGCTTGTTATTTTACAGGAGCTAGAAGACATCTATTTTTGAAAAAAGAGCTTTCGTCCCTTTAAAAAAATTAGACATCAGAAATCTCTTCCATTGTAATAACTCAATTACCTATAATCTTATGAAACAAAATTGAAATAAGCTTAATAGTTTCTAGGTTATTAATAGAACAAAGTTGTAAAAGGTTTCCTGGTGTAAATGTCAATGAAGTTCAAAGAATCATAAAAGCTGCATATTAGCTACTATAATTTGTCATTCTAACTCCTCTAAAAGTTCAAATTTCGTGAAATAATTTTAGTGCATTGTTTTACGTACAATAAGCTATTGGAAAATGCTTAAAAAACATATTTTGTGGAAAATATTGGTTGGTGTGTCCTCTTTTAAGATGAATGTACCTTTTTGAAAAACAATCATTCAGCCAACCAGTTAAACTGAAATTTAAAATTCCTCTCCATAAATAAAAATAAAATTATCTTTACAGATATAACAGTGGAGCGGGTTGCTTTTTTATTAGAAATAATAGATTAAATAATCAATTTTATTATTTGTTCACACTAATATATCATGAAGCTAGTGTGAAAAAAACAACTTTATACTTAAGAACAAAGGAAAAAGCTCATATTTAACAATTATTTTTAAACACATGACCTAAAAACAGCTAAAAATATTTCATAATTTATCTCAAATCGTAACTTATTTGGAGTAGAGTGTGTCATGAATAATCATGCTGCATGTACCTAATTTTCTGACTCTGTGTCTATTACATTTTAACAGTCTTACGATTAAATATAAAATAGACTTAAAATATTCTAAACATAGATAGCACTGCTATCAACTTTAAACAATCTTGATTTAAAACAAAAAATGTATTCATTAAAATTTAGTGAAAGGTTAGAACAAAAATAAAAAATTTAAAGTTTTTGTCCAAAAATGGATCATCATGCGTTTCAATATTTTTATGTTTGAAATGTTCTTGGCTTCCACAATTCTACCTCTATTAATTATAATATTTTTATTATAATTAATGATGCGGATAAAAAATTTAAAAAAAAAGACACCAACAGCAATGAACAATTCTTTTATTCTTGTTCTGTTTCAAGCAATTGCTGTAGGGCAGAGATGAGGAACCTTTTTTGATTAGTGTGCCAGTTAAATTACGTTTTATTATTTTCAAAATGTCTTGTGCAGCTTTTCCCAAATAGTGTTCCATGGAACTCAAGGGCTGTGTGGAAGAGTTAAAGGGGTTCCACGAGTTAGTAATTTTCATAACCAGTAATGGTTTTGTAGAATCAGATTATATTTAGATCCAACCTATAACTCATAATTTATTAATCTTTTGGTTGCCTTTATGAAATCATTTCAGGCATAATGCCAAAGTTATAGAAATGGCATTTTTAAAAGAAAATATAATATTTATGTTTATAATACATTGAACAAGTTATGAAAAGAACAAACATTTCTTGTACAAGAGCAAACAAGTTTTATACTCTTTGATTAAAATTATTTTCACTAGACTTTATTTAAAAATTTATTTATTTAACTTGTGGTAAAATTTAAATTTTTGATCAGTAGATAAAAAATAAATGCAGGAAATGTATGTTTTCATTTAATTTGAAACTTTTAATAAAACTTAAAAGAAAGATGGAATAAAAACATAATCAAAGTATCTAAATTACTCAAGGCAGAAAAATTGATATTATGTTCAAGATATATACAATAAATGTGTCTAAAATATATAACTCCAGATGAAACTTATTCAAGTTATTATTGGAAAAGTTTGGCTTTCCTAAATGTACATATAGAAAAATTCGCAGTAACATAGTTTTAAAAAAAATCTTAACAAAAAAGTATGTTTTTTTTTGTAATTAGAAACTTCTTTAATTTTAATTTGAAACTTGCTAAAATTAATTACTTAAACTTAATTTGAGACTGAGTCGGGCATGTAATATTTAAAGAGAAAAAGTATATAAATACATAGTTGAAGCATCTAAATATCAAATCAGATTATACTAAGTATAAAATTAAATCAGAATATCAAAATTGAGTACCAGACTATTTGAAACAGGAAGAGGAGTAGCATTTTAAAATTTAAGTAAGTGATGTATAAATTTAAAAAAAAAAGAAGTAAATATTGTCCTTTTTTAAATTTCAAATATCTTTTCACCCCTCCCTTATGAATATGCTTTCGTGAATAAAAATGCACCAGAGCCCCCTTAATAAAAACTTTTTCCTCAAACTTAAGTTTCTGCAATGCTATTGTAGCACTGTACCAATTTGAAGAATTGTTTTGAGTGTCAGATTTTGAAAGGCAGAGAGAGGATTTTTTATCATTCATCAACAAGGATAGAAGAAAAACTTCTGTCTTTTCATGATCTCTATTTTATTCGGCAATATTCATTTATTTAAAATGGCCATTGTCTTTCTTGTAATTTGTTATTATTATTATTGAATCTGAGATAAAAAAAAAATGCAGTCAATGTGATAATCTGCAGCACCCACTGCCACTCTAGATGGTTTCTGCTGTCAGACATGAACCTATGTTGAGTTACGCTCTATACAAATTTCTATAGTTTTAACATATTTATTTTTCTCCCTTTAGATACTTGGCATTGCCCACGTCACAAATGCAGAGTTTGTGAAGAGGAACCTGCATTCTTCTGTTTTTCATGTCCAACCTCATTTTGCAAGCGTTGCCTGCAGAGAAGAATCGTACCTACAGATTTCTTCTGCCAAACTTGTGATCTAAAGAACAAGAAATTAAAAAGAGACCGTAACAGTAAAGAGTAAACTGCTATCAGTTATTTATACTTGAAGTATTAAAATTTTTAGTATTACTTGATAATTCTGTTTGCATGAAAACTGTTGAGTTTTAAGAAATTGTTCATTTCATATTGATTAAAATTATGATCACTATAAATTAATTCATTATCTATATTTAGTAACTTAAAAAAACAGTAACTTTGGTGATGTTCGTTTGTTGCATTGCAGTTTTGTTGTTAATTTGTTACTTTGCATGTCTTTAACTAACGCATAGCTGATGAATAAGTAATTTTTATGTAAATAGTTTTTTTAATGAAAATAATATTTTGTTTAAGATTTAAATTCCATTGTTTTCAAGTTCATTTTTTTTGTATTATCATTATGATAATTTTATACTATGTATAATATTTTTAATAAATAAATTTTAAAACTCTTTTTTTTCGACCAATTTTTAAAAAGTTTTTTAAAATTTTTTGATTGATGTCATATTATTGAATGTGATGGTCTTTTAAGTCGTTGCATCAATACATTAATTGTTAAATGAACCAATATCTGACTGATATTGCTATTTTTTCAGAGAAAGTCTTATTCGTTTTGCTAGAATTAAATATTATTTTAATGAAAAGTATCAGATTGTTTTTGCAGTCTAGTACTGTTTAACAAATCATTGTGCTTTTGATAGTTAAACAAATCAATGTGTGTAATTTTTAGAAAGAAAAGTGGTTACATAATTTAACTTAATTGAGGTTCATTTTGAATAATTATGAATAATATTAAGCTTAATAAATAGCTAATCATTTTCATAAAACTAGTGAGAGAAAAAATTCTATAAAGTATTTTTTTCTTCTTTGTAAAACAAAAAGTAAATAGAAATTTATTATTGGGAAAAAAAATTGTAATAGTTTTCTTACAAAGGACTAATACTTAATTTCAAATTAGGTAATATATTTTGCTATGAACACCTCAAAAATCTGAGTTTTCATTGATTATCATTGTTTTCTCTTGATAAGCTAAATTGTGGTTTGAATTATTTAAAAAAATTTAATTTTATTTTGTTCAAAGTAGTACAAAAACCTGTTACTTAATTTTTTTAGTGAATTTGGGTACTTATGAAAAGAATTTTAATTGTTTTTTTAAGAATTATATCATGTATAATGTAGTTTTTATTTGATGTTTTCATTCTCTCCTATTTTTAGGAAAACATTTTTTTTATGTCGTTTATATATAATATATATATACTACCCTACAATAATGCAAGAGACACTTTTTGATATTTTTTTGAATTTGTCAAGAAATACTTAAAGAACTAATTTGTAACTTTAGAACTGTTTGGTTCAGGTTCGTGTGATTATTTTTCATACTTTGCAATAAGGTTTAAAGCTTTCAGAGGTTTGAGAGGCCAACAATAAATTACAAAAGAGAACAAATATTTTTGATCACCCTATGCCAGAAAATCAAGCAATAAGCTTGTAACTTGTATTAGTTATTTTGGTTATTATTTGCATTAACTGCATAAAATTTCATAAATCTAGCTGAAATATTTATGGAGTATGAGCATTTTTTTTGTTTTTTTTTGCAAAAACTTTAAGAATATTTAATAAAATAAAAAATTTTTTTTGGAGCAATCGAAAATTAATAAAAAAATTATATAATTTAATACATAAAATTTCATAAATCTAGCTGAAATATTTATGGAGATATGAGCATTTTTCTTATGTTTTTTTTTTTTTTTTTNTTTTTTTTTTTTTTTTTTTTTTTTTTTTTTTTTTTTTTTTTTTTGCTATAACTTTAAGAATATTTAATAAAATTAAGCAAAATTTTTGGAGCAATCGAAAATTAATTACAAAATGATTGTTTAAAAATTTTTTTTCTTCTGAAAACTGCACAAGATATGATATGTATGCCGAAAAATTGAAAATTATTTTTTCATAATTTTGTGGTGAATCGTGTTTGGCAACAAAATCTGATTAAAATATCTTAAAAGCGTAAAAAGTTTTAAGCAATTTTCTATATAAATTTTGTACTTTTTAAAAGAAAGCTCAAAATAATCAGGGAGTTATCAAAAATTTTATTATGTACTATTGCAAATTATGCTACCTTATAATTACTGAACAGCAAGAGTAAAATTAAATATGTGATATGCCCTTTATTATACGCAAATTTTTTCTCAATTCTCTTAAATGATAATTAAGAGGGTCAATAATAAGCATATTTATTTCATTAAAAGAAAAAGAATAATAAAATTTTATCTGATTTCTTGAATAAAAATATCACATATTTAAATTCATTAGTATTTTTTAAGGCTAAAAATTAGAACTGGGGAAAAGAATGGATCCATGCATTTGACCCTTCCCTCTCCACTTTTCAGTTATATAGGAATGTACTTTGATTTTTTTCCTTTTCCTAATATTTTTCTTATTTAATTGTTACGAATATTTTTTAAAATTTCCTTGACGCTTTCTTTTAAAACTATGTTTAATGTAGTTTTCAGTTCCATTTAGTTTCCTTACTTAAAATATTTTAATCTATTTGGAAATCAAGGCAGAAATTAATGTACTTTCTTCTTCTATGACTCTCCACACGTTAATGGTGAAAGCATGTAAAGTGTTGCTATAGGTAGAGAGTTCTGCTCTACGCCACCTATTGCTCATTTTGATCACCAATTAAGATTTCCTCTTGTTTGAAAATATAACCATCAAAAGTTTTACAGTTTTATTTTTTTGCACAATTATTATTAGCACAATTTTATTTTATATTTTAATAACTAATAATTGTTTTATGTAAAAATTATCTTTTGAAAATAATAGTTATTATTTTTATGACTAATAATTATTTTAATTATATTATAAGCATAATTTAGTTTATTTTTCAGTTCTACTTGCATTTCATTACGGAAACTAGTCATTGCCTGTTTGTTTCATTGAACATATAATTTATTTCATGTCTGTAAATTTGCTTGTGATTGAAGGAATAATTTTTTGTTTAACGAACAACTGCTATCATATATTTTGTTATTGGATTATCCATAAATGATAAAAATGTTTTCATACATCTTAATGTATTAGTTGTGCAATATGGGTAACACAGTTTGCAAATTATCCCTAATTTGCCTTCCTATTTTAATTTTTGCTGTGCAATAATTCAATTTTCATTGACCTTTATTTTTTTAAACAAGGTGAATTTAGTTCATTATTTTTCTAAAATGGCTTTACTGTTAATCTTATCCATTATATTTACTTTTTAAACTTATTCTATAATGTACATTATTGAGATTGTTATAACTCTAGTTAAAAATTGGTTGGACTGATCAATCTTGTATCCTATGCATTTTTCTCATTGTCTCCTTTAAAATTTTTACTGTATGTACTATCATTGATTTTGCAGCTTATTATTGTGGGAAAATTAGTAACTGTTTTTTACTAAACTGGTCTTTCTATATTTGTAAAGGTATTATTTGTCATTATTAAATATTTAGTTTATTTTGCTTGTATTTTATGACCAAAATGGGTAATTTGTGTTTGTATTATTTTTACCATTACAAGATAAAAATAATATATAATAATGCAGTAATTTAAAAATTAACTTAGCGTGTACAAGATATGTTGAAATAATTTTCAATAATTTTTATTATATTTAAAGTGATATTTTATTTAGAATTCTAAGTAAAAATTGTGTAATTAGAACAAAATGAAAATGTGGTTAAGAATTTGTTTATATATTTCTGCTTAAAATTTCAAAACCTTTTACATTTCTTTAACTTCTAAAACTTTTATTGCAAAAAATTATTTTTTAATTTACAAATAATTTCTAAATTAAGCAAATGCATAGACTCATAATTTATAACAATATGATTTTACTTAGCAAATTCAAGTTATCATTTAAATTTTATAAAGTTTTTCCAAGAATAGCATTAGTTTTTCAAAAATATTCAATGAAAAATGGTTGGCTTTATTGAGACCTATTTAAAAAATGTAATTTTTTATTATGCATTTAAAATATAAAATCTATTCTGATTAACATGACACTTAATGGAGTCATTCAAAGCTATTTATTAAAATAATTTTTTCAAGATACATATTTTTATTATTGTTCTAGAAAACCTTCTCTTTTCCAAAAGCTTTTAGTTTATTTTATGCTAAAAAATAAATATCTTCAAAATAATATATTTTCATTCAGTATCATATGATTTTATGATGTTTTCCTATGAAATATAATTTTTTTAGCTATGAAACTATTTCAACGTGCACAAGTTATGTTGCAATCGTTTTAATTGTATTTGAAGTGTTATTTTATCTAGTGTTGTTAGTAAAAATTTTATAATTAGAACAAAGTAGAAATGTGGTTGAGACTTTATTTTGACCTTTCTGTTTAAAAGTTCAAAACCTTTTAAATATTTTTAAGCATTTAATTTTTTATTGTAATTAATTGTTTTTAAATTTGCAAGTATTTTTTTAAATTAAGAAAATTTCTAGTATACTTCATGTAAATGATTTTTTTTCCGTGCTTTTAAATGATTAAATTTTTTAAAGTTTTATCCAAGAAATGCTTTAGTTTTTACAACTATTAATAATAAATGATATAAATATAAAATCTATTCCGGTTAATATGGAGGTGAATGGAATAATTCAAAAGTTATTTATTAAAATTTTATATATATTCAATTGTTCTTTGACCTAATATAAGCTTCTTAAGATTACAAAATATAAAAATTGTGAAAACTATTTCTATCTTGTATTTTATTTATTTATCTTGACTGGTGATTGTCATTAATTACTTAGTAAATTATTAATTATGTTGCATTTATTTGAAAATTTTCTAAATGTGAAATGTGTTATTAAAATGTGAAATTTAATGTTTTTTCTATATGTGAAATTTTTCTAAATGTGAAATGTGTGTATTAAAATATAAATTAACTTTAATGTGAAACAAAAATGTTGCCATTTCGAAGTTTAAGTTGTTGTTAGGTTAGAGTTGTCGTTTAAAGTTCATCCCTGCATTATGCAGGTTTTTTTTTTTTTAAAAAAAAGTTAAAATGTGAATTGTGTTATTAAAATGTGAAATTTAGTGTTTTCTAAATGTGAAATTTTTCTAAGTGGGAAATGTGTATATTAAAATATAAATTAACTTTAATATAAACAAAAATGTCGCCATTTTGAAGTTTAAGTTGTTGTTAAGTTAGTGTTGCCGTTTAAAGTTCATGCCTGCAGGTTTTTTTTTTCTAAAAAAGTTCATAAATTATATTTAATTAGATGTATTCAATTTAAGTTCAGTATAATTTATCTATTCAATATACATTTTATAATTCATTATCATTGTACGTTATTTCTTCTCTGTGTAAAATTACATAAAAAGTTCATTGA